GTACAGCCACTTTGGATGACAGTTTGACATTTTCTTACAAAAAGAAGTCATAGTTACACCATATGATCCAGCAATTACATTCCTAGGTATTTATTCACTTTAAAAATTTGTTAACAAAAATCAAGTACTTATTGCAGTGTTATCAATAATTGCCAAAAATTAAGCAACTAACATGCTTTTCAACAAATGAATAGATAAACACAGTGTGATATAGTCATACAATGGAATATTATTTGGCAATAAAACATGAGTTATCAAGCCATGAGAATATATGAATGGAACTTAAATGAATATTATTAACACTAAGTGAAAGGAGACAGTCTAAACAGGTTACATACATATGGTTCCAATTATAAAACATTTTGTAAAAGGAAAAACTATAAAACAGTAAACAGGTAAGTAGTTGCAAGAGATAGGAGGTGGGTTGAATATATGAGGCACAGTACATTTTGAGGGCAATAAAAACTGTCCAGTATGATATTATATGGGTAGATATATAATATTATAGAATGGCAAAGTGAAATGCAGACTATGGCAAGGGAACATAACTTTATTACAAAATTATGAAACAACAACATTAAACAGGAAGAGGGAAGCATTAATGGTCTAATTAACTTTGGAGATGGGTGAAATTCATAAGAGCCAAAGCTAAAAGATTTACACTGATGCACTGTAGTCTAGTTGTCTGAGTTTTTTCCCATGGTGGTTTAGGTGAACAATCCTGATATCGCCATATATGTATACAGGAATTGAACAATTAAGCAAATAGATGGCAGATTATAGGAGCTACACTTCTCATTGGTGTAGTGGGAAGTTATAAATAAGCAAGGAGAGTAGGCTAGAATGATCCATGTGGAAATTAGAGATGGAGACATCAGTATGAGCTGATGTTTAGCTTAATATAGATACATATTATTAGGTTCAGAAATGTTTATAGATATCTTTATATACAGTCATGTACTGCATAATGGTATTTTGGTCGATGATGGACCACATATATGGCACATAATCTTATGGGTGGTCTCATAATATTATAAAGGAGCTGAAAATTTCTATTGTCTGGGGGCATTGTCACTGTCATAACATCGTAGGCCAATGCATTATTCTCATGTTCATTGTGATGCTGGTGTAAATGACAGATTGATAGCACTGTCAGTTGTATGAAAGTCTAGCATGTATAATTATGTACAGCACATAATGCTTGATAATAATAATCAATGATTATGTTACTCTTTTTATTATTTTAGAGTGTACTCCTTCTACTTATAAAAATGAAGTTATATATAAAACAACCTCAGACAGTTTCTTCTGGAGATATTTCAAAAGAAGGCGTTATTATCATAGGAGATGACAGCTCCATGCATGTTATTGTCCCTGAAGTTCTTCCAGTATGACAAGATATGGAGGGGGAAGACAGTGATATTGATGATCTTGACCCAGTGTGCGCCTAGACTAATGTCCATGTTTGTGTTTTAGGTGATAACAAAAAAGTTTAAAAAGTAAAAAAAAAAATTAAATAGGAAAAGTTTGTAGAATAAGAATATAAAGAAATATTTTTGTACAGCTGTACCATGTGTTTATGTTTTAAACTGTTATTACAAAAGAGTCAAACAATTTTTTAAAATTAGAAGGTTTATAAAGTAAAATTGTTATAGTAATCTAAGTTGGTTATTGAAAATACTTTAAATAAATTTAGTATAACCTATGTGTACAGTATATATAAAGTTTGAACTAGTGTGCAGTAATGTCCTTGGCTTTCATGTTTACTTACCACTCACTCACTGACTCACTCAGAGCAATTTTCAGTACTGCAAGCTCCATTTGTGGCCAAGTGCCCTACACTGGTGTACCATTTAAAATCTTTTATACTATAATTTTATGGTATCTTTTCTATGTTTAGATATATTAAGATACATGCTTACACTTACCACTATGTTTCAATTGCTTACAGTATTCAGTACAGTATAATGCTTAGGTTTGTAGCAGGTTTTATCATCTAGGTTTGTATAATTACAGGCTATGATGTTCACACAATGATGAAATTGCCTAATGACACATTTCTCAGCATGTACCCATTATTTAGCAACTCATGACTATATATCAATTAGTATTCATGCACGTATTTACTTACTCTGTCAGTTGAAAGGAGCTAAAAATAACACTTCAGTAGCAACAAGCATACACAGCACTCAAATATTGGTTTCTAATATCCTTCTCCAATAAAATAACCAGAAATTATTGGAAAATGTCGATTCTAAGACTGGAGCAGGAAATAGACGACATATTTCTGGAGTATCTTGTAGTACCTGTAAGTAAGGAAGTACTCAAAAACAAAACAAAACAAAACAATAGTGGGTGTATGTCAAAAGGACCATCTGAAATAATTCTTAATCACCAAAACTGGAACAATTTAATAAAAGTGTACTGGATAATAACTCAGCATATAAAATAATATCAATGACATTATAGCAATATTAACAACAAATAAATGATATTAATATTGAAAAAATAAACAAGGAGAAAAAACAAATGTCTCATGCTGAAAACCCCAAGTAATTTATATAGATTTTTTTGCCCCTTCTTTTTTTTTTTGAGTTGGAGTCTCACTCTATCACCCAGACTGGAGTGCAGTGGCCGCTCCCAGCCACCGCAGCCTCGACCTGCTGGGCTCCAGTGATCCTTCTGCCTCAGCCTTCCGAGTAGCTGGAACTACAGGCGCACGCTACCTTGCCCGGCTAATTTTTGATTTGCTGTAGAGATGAGGTCTCGCCAAGTTACCCAGGTGGGTCTCGAACCCGCGGGCTCAGGCAATCTACTCACCTCGGCCTCCCAAAGTGCTGGGATTACAGGCTGAGCCACCGAACCCGGCCTTTTTGCCCCTTCTTAAGTGTGACTGCACATAATGACTCTACCAAAAGTTACAGAATGAAAACGGAGAAATAACTTTGCAGTGGAGAAGCCTCAGGCAGTAGACAAACCTACCTCAGACATGTGGTCAAGGTCAACATCAACGGTAATAAATCATGTTGATAGTATGTACTCTTAACTTGATGTGATAAAAATTGTGCTTAAACTCTATGATCTTCCTCCCAAAAAAACATAAGTGCATCCTACTTATGAGGAAAACATCAGATCAATTCCAATAAAGGGGCAGTCTTCAAAATATCTGAAAATAAACTTAAGGTCATCAAAAACAAGAAAAGTCTGAGGAAATGTCACAACCAAAGTGAGTCAAAGGAGATATGATAACTACATTAATATGGTATCCTTGATGGGTTCCTGGAGAATAAAAAGGACATTATGAAAAATCTATGGGAGCATCAATAAAATATGGAATTTAGTATATAACAATATAAAATTAATATTGACAATATTAATTGCGACAAATATATCACTAATATTGTAAGATAATATGAGAAAATGGATTGAGATATAGGGGATACTCTGTTTACCTTTATAATTTCTCTATACATCTAAAACTTCTAGAATACAAAGTTTATTTTAAAAGTAAATATATGAAAGTTTCTAAGGAAGTCAAGTACACATTGACTATACTTCACTAAATAAACATACCTACTCACACAAAACAAAAAGAAAACAATAAACATTTCTCTACAGATACCTCTATGTGAATAAAAGAAGTCAATAATTTAATTGACTCAACATTTATCTTTGTGGCATATATATTTCAACAGAATCCTAGACATAAAAGTATGTATACTTGTTTTTACTTTTTAAGAAAATGTGAAAATATAACAAAAAAATGTATAACGTTGTGCACAAGGTACAGTTACTCAGAATAGGTGAAAGTAAGAAGCTGATTCACATTGCCTAAAGTTTCATCTCAACTCTGTCATTTGCAAGTTTTTTTTGAATCAATATTTTTTATTATGATATTGTGGGGTACAGTTAAGGGTTAGGTATACAAATATGCTTCGTTCAGGTACCCTTGTTGATAAGAGGTGTCTCCCCATCCCCAGACAGATATTTACTACCATTAATCCCATCTCCTTTCCCCTGCCCACCCATAGTTTCCCAAGACTGTCAGTCATATTCTTATAGTATTACATTGGATGTTCAAGGTCTGCTATATGAGTGAGAACATGTGATACTCAGATCTTTGTTTCGGTGAGAGATCACTCAGTATTAAAGACTCTAGTTCCATCCAGGTTGCTGCAAAATTCATGATTTTGTTCTTTTTTTATGGCTGCATAGTATTCCATCATGTATATGTACCACATATTTTAATCCAGTCTTCTTTTGACGGACAGCATGGTTGATTCCAGGTTCTTGCTATTGTGAATGAGGATGCGATAAACATATGTGTGCAGGTATCTTGTTTTTTTTTCTTCACTGTTCTCCAGTTTTATTATTTTTCAATTTTCCCAACACAAGAACTGTAATTCATTGTGAGATTTTTCAGTGCATTTCACAGCAAAAATGAACAAGGGAATCATTAAAATTGTACACAAACCAACTCTTTTTCTTATAATTTACAATTTGTTGAAAAAAAATTATTGTTTTGTTGTTCTCATCCTATTAACCTCTTTTACAGAACACAATTCATTAGAGCACAAAGTTTAAACTTCTTATGATGATGCAACAGACATAGCCATCTACAATGGCTGATAAACAGGTATATGTCACACACGCTGATTGGAAGACCATATCAGAAGAAACAGGGTAAGGCACCACTCTTGGAAAATTAAGTAGCTTGCAGTAACAAGTGTTGAGCACCATAATGAGGTGCTCAATAAATACTTGAATGAATGATGAAAGCCATAATTAGCACTATTCTTTTAATTGCCAGCAATTCTTCAACCTCAATAAAACACTTATTTAAAAAAAGATTTGTACCTGAATACAACTTTCTGATATCTTTTTTCCCAATGCCTTTTCATTTCATCTTTTTTCAGCATTTACATTTCCTTGAAAAGAAAACACAACCATATCTTACATGCACTCAATTATATATATAACTTCTGAATTACTGACATATATGAATAGAATCAATTGTTTTAATTTTTAAGTGAACAGAGGTAAAATAAAGTATTCTTATCCAAAGGGATAGTATAATACTGGATATTAACCTAGAAGTGAAAAAAAGGTAAGAAAAAAATAACGTTTTTTTAAAATATTTGCCATTTTCTTTAATGCCTTAGTTCTTGAGAAGGTCAAAATGTCATCGTATTGACATGAACAGATTTTTAAAAATTGTCTCTCAAGTGTAATATTTAATAAAACTAGGTATTGAAAAATGTTCTGAAATTTTTCAAGTCAATGTTGTTTTCAAGTATATTAAAATGCTCAGAAGAAAAAATTCTCCATGGTTATAATTCTAATCAATCTAAATCAATCTATAAATATACTTTTTAAAAGAGAGTTCCAACAGAGGGGGATCATGGATAAGTTCTTCAGACACAGGCACACAGTCTTTTTGAAGACATAGAACGCCTTGTTACCACAACCTGGTTGATTTGTTTATTAACACTGATTTCAGGCACAATGGCTGAATCCACTTCTGGGTCATCTTTCTCCTCCTCTTGGTTGGTTCATAAGAGTAGTGAATACTTCAGTTTTGGACAGAAAGCAAAACACAAACTCAGAAACAGAAACTTTGCTTTTCACTATAAAGAAACCAAAGTCACTGAGTTCTCATTGTTGTATGTATCTGCTGTCCCTGTACAAAATAGGGGATTCAAACTTAGCTTTAGGAGTGGGACCTAGATAAAAGATTAATCATCTAATAATTTGGGTACAAGGTTTTAAGATGGTATTGCTCACATGACATGAACAAGTTGGTGAGAGGTTCATCATGTCTCTTCAACACTTTGGTCTTGCTGCAGTACCATGGTGCCTAGTAGTACATTCATGATGAGCTAGTTTCAGTCTGCACAGTAAGAAGCAGATCACTCAGTGCAATGACTCCACTCTGAGAGGGTTTAGGGTAAACAGAAGAGCCTCACTGGTTGAGTCTTAGATAGCATGTGTCACTCTGCTGGTTGTGTCGCTGGAATTATTTTCCAGAGGGGTTTGTGATAAACCCAGCCATCTCCCTCTTTAATAAAATATTTGGTTTTCCAGGGTGTGCTAGTTTCAGTGCAATGCCTTTCTTCAGTCCTCTGATGCTCTTCCAGGGCACATTTATGCTCTGTGGCCTTGTCAATTTCGGATTCCCTCAGAGAATCTGTCACATCTTTCCACAATCGCCTGGACTCAAATGGGTCCTGCTTCTCCAGAGGTCTTACTCTTTTCCTCATCACTGCCAATTTAGTCAAGTCCACATACTTTGTCTCTCCATTGCTGTAAGTGAACTCTAGAACACTATTCCATTCCCCTTGCACTCGGCATACCACAGTGTTGGTGATGTTGTGCTTTACTTCAGCTGTAACCCAGTGCAGTTTACCACCATAAAATGGCTTAGAATGAAAAGTGTTGCTGGCTGAATATCCAGTTTTTGCACAGTTGACACCGACTTTTCCACCCAGTTCTACCCAAGGAACAGTCAAAATCAAGTGGGTATATGCACAAGGTAGAGAAAATGTATACTCTTCTCCATGCTCCAATAGACTGAGGACACCTTCTCCAACCATTGTCACGCCTATAGACATGCCTAAGAACTTGCTCTTAGTCCAGACATGTGCATTTACACACATCTTCTTCTCTGCACATTCTGCATAAAATCCTGAGACTGGAGGATGATGGGAAACCTGTTCAGCAACAAATCTGACTGTGTAACAGTCTGATCCCCCCGGCTTGAAGACTCCTCTGATAGAGAAGCATGATTTGTGACTGCCTGGGTGGAAGAGCTGCTAATAGCACTGCGTGCTACCTCACTTTTTGGCATCCTCCAGGAACAGTGAAATGTTTCTCCAATGATAGGACTGTATGGTTTCTTAGCAATGGCTCCCTTACGGCCTTCATGAAATGAGGTAAGGTAGTACTCAACAAAGCGAATCATTCTGTCCTCAGCTGTGGCTCCATTAGTGATGGCTATAAATAGGTCTGGATGGGACATAAAGTCTGCATACATTTCCAGTAAGGAACGCTTCTCTAGGACAAATGTAGGAAGCACCACTCTTGTTAAGTCCATGCCCAGCTTGAGCTGCAACAAGAGATGCAGGATGACACTGCGCTGCTCTTCTACAGCTCCCAGGTCATCCTCCTTGTTGTCACATGTATCCTCCATCTCATCATCTGCATTTATTTCTTCTGGTTCCCTTACTAATAGTCCAGATTCTGCCACAGACTGCTCTTCTGGGACTGCCACCGGCTTGCTCTGCTCAGTTGCAAAGGGCTGGTCAGCCCCATTTTTATAGTGGTTTGATAAAGGTATCTTTGGTTCCAACCACTCGATTGTCGCTCCTGAAGGCAATGAGCCCTTCTGATGTGATGCATGCTGCAACTGGAGAATATGAAAACAGTCATTTAAGCAGTTCATAGTCGCCATGGAAGTCACTTTGAGCATTAAGAGATCCTGGTCCAAGGAAGTAAGATGGCCAGAAGCAGAAAGGCATTCAATTCGTCTAATTAAGTCTCTTTGTTGTCCTTCAGCATGAGACATCATTTCTCTGACTTCCACAAGATGGTCTGGAGGTAAGTGAGCTCTTTTGCTCACTGATTGCAGTTTGGAATGTCCAACATTAAAAAAAGAAATGGCATTTTGACTTGGTCTCCTCTGGGATATAGGAGAATTACCACTAGATGCCGGTGAGAAGCTCCGTGACTTCAGAGGAGGATTATTCTTTCCAATAGCTTCAGTATGATGTTGTGTACAAATCTGAAGTCTGCTTACCCAGTGTTGTCGCTCTTTAGCATCTGTGGCTCTGAGTTTATACTGTTCCCCACTGGGAGCGTTTACAGTGAAGGTGTGAGAACCCGCATCACTGGGTGATATTACAGCGCCTGCAAGCTGCAAAGTACCTCTAGGTTTCTGATTTCTAGACTGTTCATTTACAAAGTACTCCAATAGCCCAGCTTCATTGTTTAAAACAAAAAACCTGTATTGTCACCCAGTGACAAGGTTGGTGTGCTTCATTAAATAACCATACACATTTTCCATGTGATCACTGTACTGCCAGCCTTTTGCACTGCCACCGTGGCTACTGCTACTGCTGCTGCTGCTGCTGCCACCCCCACAGCTGCTGTTGCTGCTGTTCTTGTTGTTCGGGGTCACCGCTGTGGCCAGGCCCTCCAGCTTTCCCTCGCTCTCTGAGACTTTCATTGTTGACACTGGTTCGACTCCCTGCATCTTAACGCCAAAGTCCATTTGTCCTTCTCGGGCGGGAGAGAACAACTCTGTAGTTTTGCAGGTGATTTTTTTTTTTTAAAGATCTGATATGAATGTGACCCCAGATACTAAATCAGACGGCGGCTGGAGTGGGAACCGTCAAACGGTCCAGGAAAGGAAAATACACATTTCCACCAAAGTGAAACTTTCAAGAGGGCAGGGGTAGCAAAGAGGACTGATATCCTTTAGATAGATGTACCTCCTTCCGGCAAAAGCAAGGAGGAAAAATCATCCGGCTCGAGGGCTTGGTGACATACTCAGAGGAGAAGGAGCGTGGGGAGCCTGGAGGGCTGGGTGAAGGACGGAAGACCACAGAGAGGGGACCCTGCGGCCTGACCTCCGGGCTGAGGGGCTGACCCGCCGTGCCCCCTCTTTTCCTCCAGCCGGTTCTCACGGGGAGGGTCCAGTCCAGCCCGCTGGGCCGTTCCCACCGCAGCCCCCAGGACACAGCCAGAGGCAGAGCGCGCAGCCCGGGAGGAGAGTCGACGAAAGAGGCCGCTGGGGGCGGGACGCTGGCTTCCAGCGCCGCCTCTCCTCGGATCAGAGGCGAACAGCTCGGAGCGACTTCGTCCAATGCCCCCGGCCCCTCGACTGGGGTCCCAGGAGCCGACGAGCCTCTCGCCCTCTCTCCGGACCCAAGCGTGAATGCCAGGGCCAGGGCCGCCGCCCCACCCACAGCCGCAGGTATCTTTTTTAAAGAGTGATTTGAGTTCTTCAGGGTATATTCCCAGTAGGTGGATTCCAGGGTCATATGGGAGGTCAATATTTAGAGCTTTTAGGAATCGCCATACTGTTTTCCACAGAGGTTGTACTAGTTTGCACTCCCACCAACAGTGTAGAAGTGTTCCCTTTTCGCCACACCCTCTCCAGCAGCTGTTATTTTTTGTTATTGATAATTGACATTCTGACTGGAGTTAGGTGGCATCTCAGTGTGGTTTTGATTTGCATCTCTCTGATGATTAGTGAGGTTGAACATTTTTTCATGTGTCTGTTGGTTGCTGGGATGTCTTCCTTTGAGAAGTGTCTGTTCATATCTTTTGCCCATTTTATAATGGGGTTGTTTTGTTTTTTCTTTTCAGCACGTTTGAGTTCCTTATAGATCCAAGATGTTAAGCCTTTGTCAGACCTGGAGTTGGCAAATACTTTTTCCCAGTCTGTGGGATGTCTCCCTGCTTTCTTGATGGTTTCTTTGGCTTTGCAGAAGCTTGTCAGTTTAATGAGGTCCCACTTGTCTATCTTATCTCTTATGGCCTGTGGGTTTCGGTTTTGTTCAGGAATTGGGTACCAGTTCCAATTTACATGAGGGTATGTCCATCATTTTCTAAGGTTCTTATGGTTTGAGGTTTCACATTTAGGTCTCTGACCCATTTAGAGTTAATTTTTGTGTATGGGGATAGATGGGGTCCTGTTTCAATCTTCTGCATGTGGTCAGCCAGTTTTCCCAGCACCATTTACTGAATAGGTTCTCCTCTCCCCAGTGGTAGGTGGTGGAGGCTTTGTTGAAGATGAGTTGGTTGAGAAATTGAGGTTTTCCTTCTGGAATCTCAGTCCTATTCCATTGGTCTATATGCCTGTTCCTGTACCAATACCAAGCTGTTTTGATTATTGTAGCTTTACAGTAAAGTTTGAAGTCTGGTAATGTGATACCACCTGATTTGTTTTTTTTTTTTTGCTGAGGATTGTTCTGGCTATTCTTGGTAGTTTGTGTTTCCATATGAATTCCTGTGTTGTTTTTTCTAGGTCTGAAAAGAATGTTGCTGGTAATTTGATGGGTATTGCATTAAATCTGTAGATTGCCTTAGGTAAGAAGGACATCTTCACAATGTTGATTCTTCCAGTCCATGAGCATGGGATATTTTTCCACTTATTTGTGTCATCTTTGATTTCTTTGAGCAATGTTTTGTAGTTTTCATTGTAAGGGTCTTTCACATTTCTGATTAGGAAGACACCAAGGTATTTCATTTTTTTGGTGGCTATTGCAAATGGCATTGTGGTTTTTATTTGGGTTTCTGTTTGTTTATTATTGGTGTAAAGAAATGCAATTGTCTTTTGCACATTTACGTTATATCCTGAGACTTTGCCAAAGTCCTTTATCAGTGTAAGGAGGTTTTTGACAGATTCTCTTGGGTTTTCAAGGTACACGATCATGTCATCTGCAAAGAGAGATAGCTTGACTTCCTCTTTTCCTATTTGAATACCCCTGATTGCCTTCTCTTGTCTGATTGCTCTAGCCAGGACTTCCAATACTATATTGAACAGGAGAGGTGAGAGTGGGCATCCTTGCCTTGTTCCAGTTTTCAGGGGAAATGGTTCCAGTTTTTGTCCATTTAGGAGTATGCAGGCTGTGGGTTTCTCATAGATGGCTTTTACTATTTTGAGGTATGTTCCCCATATGCCTAGCTGTTCGAGAGTTTTTATCAAAAAGGGGTGCTGGATTTTATCAAAAGCTTTTTCTGCATCTAATGATATAATCATGTGGTTTTTGTTTTGACATCTGTTGATGTATTTAATTACATTTATGGTTTTACAAATGTTGAACCAGCCTTGCATCCCAGGGATGAAGCTTACTTAGTCATGATGGATGATTTTTGAGATGTGCTGTTGAATCCGGTTCGCTAGGATCTTGTTGAGAATTTTAGCATCTATGTTCATCAAAGATATTGGCCTGTAATTTTCTTTCCTTGTTGGGTCTTTACCTGGCTTGGGTATCAATGTGATGTTAGCTTCATAAAATGATTTGGGGAGAGTTCCGTCTTTCTCAATCTCCTGGAATACCTTCAGTAGGATTGTTATAAGCTCCTCCTTAAATGTCTTGTAGAATTCTGCTGGAAAGCCATCTGGTCCAGGGCTTTTTTTTGTAGGTAGTTTTCTTATTATGTAGTCAATTTCCTTGATTGTTATTGGTCTATTTAGGGTCTCAATTTCTTCTTGTTTCAACCTAGGTAGGTTGTGTGATGACAGAAAGTCCTCCATTTCTGAAAGGTTTTCAAGTTTGTTTCCATACAAGTATACGTAGTAGTCTCTAATGATCTTTTGTATTTCTTCAGGGTCAGATGTGACTTCATCTTTTGTGTTTCTGATTGTGTTTATTTGGGCTTTTTCTCTCTTTTTCTTGGTCAGTCTAGCTAGGAGACCATTGATATTATTTATCCTTTCAAAGAACCAGCTTTTTGTTTCATTGATTTTTTGTATTATCTTTTTGTCTTCTATGTCCTGGATTTGGCTTTTATTTTGGTGATCTGGATTCTTCTGCTGAAATTAGGGTTTTTGTGGTCTTGCTTTTCCAGCTTCTTTAGGTGGCTTGTTAGGCTGTTAATTTGTGATCCTTCCATTTTCTTCATGTGTGTTTGTAGGGATATAAATTCCCCTCTTACTACAGCTTTCAGGGCATCCCAGAGATTTTGGTAAGATGTTTCTTCATTTTCATTTGTTTCCAGGTATCTTCTAATCTCTGTTTTGGTTTCATCATTGACTCAGGAGTTGTTTAGCGTCATGCTGTTTAGTGTCCATGTCTTTGTGGTTTTTGGGGGGACCTTGTTGGTGTTAATGATTATTTTATTCCACTATGGTCCGAGAAGGTGCATGGTAAAATTTCAGTCCTTTTAAATTTGCTTATGCTTGATTTATGGTGAAGTATGTTGTCAGTCTTAGAGTACATTCCATGTCGTGATGAGTAGAATGTGTATTCTGTGGTCTTTGGATGGAGAGCTCTGTAGGTATCGATTAAGTCCATTTGCTCAAGAGTCCCTTTGACGTTTCAGATCTTGTTACTGATTTTTTGTCCTGATGCTCTGTATAAGGTTGTGAGTGGAGTATTAAAGTCCCCAGCTATGATGGTATTGGAGTCGATATCTTTTTTTAGTTTACCTAGGAGCGGCTTTATAAAAGTTGGTGCTCCTATGTTCGGTGCATATATGTTTAGGATGGATATTTCTTGTTGATGGATTGAACCTTTATCATTATGTAGTGACCTTCTGTATCTTTTTAAATTTTTGATAGCTTAAAGGGTATTTTGTCTGAGATTAAGATCATGACTCCTCCTTTCTTTTGTATTTAGGTTGTCTGAAAATTTGTTTCCCATCCTCTTACTTTGAGTCTGTGAGTGTCCTTTCTAGTGAGGTGAGTCTCTTGAAGGCAATAGATTGTTGCTTGGTGATATTTTTATCCATTTTGCCATTCTATGTCTTTTCAGTGGTGCATTTAGTCCATTCACATTCAAACTAATTATTGAAATGTGAGAGTTGATCCCTATCATAATGTTCTTACAGATTTGTTGTTCATCCTGTTTGTGTGTTGTCTTTCTTTTGGTTTTAGAGTTGGATCATGTGTGCTTTTAATCTTCTGCCTGTACTCTTGTGAAGAACATTGTTGTTCTTTTTTCCTTTTCTTCTGTGTTCAATACCTTCTTAAGTGTTTCTTGTAGAGGTGGTCTTGTGGCAGTGTAGCTTCTTAGGGATTGGATATCTGGGAAAGATTTCAATTCTCCCTCACTGATGAAACTTAGTTTGGTTGGGTAGGTTATTCTCACTTGAAATTGTTTATCTTTTAGAACTTTGAAGATAGGGCTCCAAGCTCTCCTAACCTGGAGGGTTTCTGTAGATAAATCTGCTGCTATCCTATTCGTCTTCCCTGGTATGTAGTTTGACCTTTTTCTCTTGCAGCCTTTAGGATTTTTTCTTTTGTACCTACTTCATTTAGGCGAATTATTATATGTCTGGGAATTGGTCTTCTCATTTGTTGTTTTGCATGGGTTCTCTGAAACTCTTGTGTTTGAATTTTTTCATCCTTGATGAGATGAGGGAAGTTTTCTTGAATGATTTCATGAAATGTTTGTTCCAGTGTGGCTTCTGTTTCTCTCTCTGCCTCAGCAAGGCCAATTACTCTTAGGGTCAGTCTCTTGAAGTGATCATTCATCTCTTGAAGGTTTTGTTCTGTCTTTTTGAGCTTCTTTTCTATGCTTTTGACAGTTTGGGTTAGTT